ACACACACACACACACACACACACACACACACACACACACACACACCACTTGGTGCTGTCTTTAGACTCTTGAGACACTGTTTTTTTCTGCTGCTTTTTTTTCTTCACTGCATCTTGTTTCCTGCCTCCACGCGTACTCCTCTGGGAGGCAATCGGGTATACTATCCTCTTTATTGGACATTTATCTCATTTGGCAGGTGAAGTTGCCCACTTCTCACTCCTACGCAATCTTCCAGACTATCTGCCAGTCATAAAATACATCCCCGATACGACTAGGCTCAGTTCCATCACTTATTATCATTTATTTAACATCTCAAAGCTCTCAAAGGGCCAGTGGGCGTGCCCTGACAGAGAAGCAGCAGAGCGTAGCGTTTTACCATCTGGGTAGCAGTAGGATCAGCACAACACGAGTGCCTGATCTAGATACATCACTAGCCATCAATGGCTTCAAGTCACTTGCTGCTTGTCACACAGGACAGGATGGGCGACAGAGTGCTCACCCTGCAGCTAGCGGGCTCTCTCCCCGTTCTTCCCCTTCAACTTTTGTTCCCTGTGAGCCGTGCACAATATGGACAGAGTCGTGCTGCTGTGATTATCACAGTTTAAATTCATACACCACACAACGGCCTTCTTTTAAAGAATCTAAATCTGATTTTTGTTTCTTACGTACACGTTACAGTTGACCTCAGCAATCATGCTATGACTCAGTTCAGCTTTAGTTCTTGTCAGTAATAATAGATTTCAGTGATGACCATTTCATAGTGGATCGTGACCTCAGAAGCCTGTTAAAAACTTCATTTCATTTTTCTTTTCACTGCCTGAGACAGCACAAACGCTTGAGCTCGTCATCCTTTTGAATCAGTCAGATGATGCAGGGATTGCTGTGCAGGTGTGACGCGTTTTGTATTTATTTTTGTCTCTTATTGTATATTTGCCAGTCCCCACACTTTAGAAATGTGTAGTATTTCATTGCTCTAATTCTCTGCTAATTACAAGCTATTATTGATTTTTAAACTGTTTTTCTTTTAAAATGCAGATAACACAATCCCATCCAACACACCAGTTGTTTGCTATAGACAAAAGTGTTAATCTGTCTGTGTCTCTTTGTTACACTGATTCTTGGTTTTAGATTGTACATTTGTGGGGGGGGGTTTCTTCTGATCATGCGAGTATTGAGCCCACATTATGCAAAAAATTGTCCAGTTTGAGAATAGAGTCGAAATTTTGAGCTCAAACTCAAAAGGTTTTTCTGCAAATAAATTCAATATACCAAAAAGTCGAAATGTGGGGATCAAGTTGTTGTTCCCACGGCTGTTATACTCTCTGTGAAAAGCTACAAAATACTTCAAATTTGGTTTTAGTAATAAGGAAATATTTCTCTTTTGTGCAAAGTGAGAAATGCTATGATGTGACGATTACAGCCTCATGCCGTAAAGATGCAGTATGTTGTATCGCAACACACAGTAAGAGAGCTCTACACAAAGACTTTTGCATAATAACTTGACTTTATTCTGAAAATATTGTTCATAAAAAGCCAAGTAAACGTACGCATTACCAAGAATCTGAGTTACATTTAGCGCAAGACACTGGAAACTGGGTAGTGCTGTAAAATACTGTTGACCAGGCTACTCGTACTATTTAGCCTTTCTGGTTTGCTCAATGAAAGCTTTATGAAGTTCTAATGTAACATTTGGCAGGAGTACAAGCTGAGGGAATAAGCGAAGGGTTTGTTTTAGCCCCTTGGGTTGTTGTTGGACTTCTGACTACCTCCTCCTGAGACCTCAGGACACTGTGAAGCAACTGACACACAGTTAAAACCACAAATGCTCCACCTCTGCTGACGTAACACGCCAGGTCTCCCTATCCTTATTCTGAGCTCGAGCTGCTTCTTGAATTCCTTATACACAGGTCTTAGGCATCTGCAACTTGTCATCTTCATTTGAATATTTAATTCCTTCAGAGCTGTCTTACTGTGGGATATCTCAGAAGCGCCGAGCATCTGCTCCGTGATGGAGCTCTTCGGTGCATTTATCCGTGCCCGTGCAGTGCCGGGAATGTCATGTAAATTTGATGGCAGCTTCCACAGTTGCTTCTGGCACTCCGGGAGAGTGCAAAAAAGTGAAAAATGCATCTTCTTTTCTGCTGTTTTTCCTGTATGTTTAAAATATAAATGGGCTGCACTTCAAGCTTGATTTGTACCGCTGCAGTGTGACTGGGTGAAATGGCTTTTGTTAATCAAGTCGTCGGAGGATTCTGAGAAAACAAGTTGTCGGGGTCAGAATGGGAGCTAATTAAGGAAAATTTAATGATGTAATAAATTTGTAGTTGCTCTTTATTTGTTGAAGTAGGACAGCTGAGTAATTAATTTTTTACGTTAATGGAAGTCTTTGTTTTCTTTCTCTCTCTGTCTTTCTCTTTTCTTTAGGAACCTGCTGGATAGAGACACGTTCTCCAAGTCAGATCCAAGTAAGCTTGTCTCTTATCACTCTCTCTGTGACACACATGTGCACACAAACAGATCAGTGCAACAGCTCCCAGCAGACCTAACACAAATCCACAGACACATATATACGCACTCTCTCATGCACGTGTACAGGTGGATTTTAAATTCTACAGGCAAACAGACACAACCGCAGACAAACATCCACCACATGCAGGCAGATTTGGTACTGTGCAAACACAGCTTGCATGCACTACACATGGACACACACACTCTGCCTCGCCTGTGTGAATCAGTAGACATTTGCATATGTCAGGGGTCGTATTCGTCACTGTTCTCTGCTCCCAATGTGAGTGAGGGGAACCAGATCATCTTCACACACAAACCAGCCGCTTCCCTCCTACAGATTAAACGGCACACATACACACTCCTCACTCACTTGATAGCAGGGGTTCAATTTGGCAACTGGTCCAGTGGTTTTTAAAGGCCCAGTGTGCAATCCAACAGCAATTTGCCTCAGTAGACGGACATTAAGAGCAGGATGAGAAGTCCATTTATTAAAAAAATATTTTAATAAATGGACTTCTCATTTCAAAGAAGGGCTTTATGTTTAGGCAAACTGTTAACACACAGGCTCTCTATCATAACTTCATTCTTTTCTGTTACTGACTGAAATGAATTGTCACATCAACACCAGTGAAAACAAGATAACCAAACAGACACGCTGCTTCAAAAATGGAAATTAATGTTGGTGGTATTTGTTCTTCATATCTCATACACTGTCACATTTGAACCCAGAGTCCTTCTATGCTGCATTTATAATATTAACGAATAGCAGGAATACAGGCATCATCTTCAGATGTACCTATAGAATTTTTAATTGGGGGAACAACAGGCTTGGTTTTCTTAAATAAGTACTGCAGTGCATTTTTGTTATTTAGAGAAGACTAGCAATGTTGGTACAATTGCATCTTCCTATTTTGAAGTTTGGTGGGGGGCTAGAACTATTGTTATGTCAAAAAATTCAAAGCAATTCCTGTAAAATTTGGAGAAAACAAACAAAAGGAAGATGTGAGCAAATGCTGTTTTGACCCTTCAATAAGCTTGTCTACATAGGGTTAGAGACCACGGGGTTAGAGACCAGTCAGCAACCCCCCAGCACAACCCAGTATCGTGGCCGACCGGCATGCAGAGGCTGCAGCAAGCTGCAGTACCAGCAGCGGGGCATATTTTATGTTAAGTCAACATGAAAATTATGGCGGGAAAACCTAAGAGACCATTAAGCTAGGTGGTTAAAATGTAAATATTAACCACAAGCATAATCGTTTGTGGCATAGAAGGACCCTGGAACCTACTTCATACTTTCCTTAGTCACGGCTGCTTGGCTATTGTTCAATCTTGCTCTAAAAAAAAAAGAAAAAAAAAAAGATTTCTCTTACTTTTTTATTTTTTCTCCTCAAGTATCAATTTTCCTCTGTATCAACTGGCACTGGTATCAAGTTTGAAATTCTTGTTTTGTGACATCCTTGATAGGGGACGAATGGGGTTGCTGCTGTGAAAAGTGAATCCAAAGAGGAAGCACCTTAAATTTGGATTCTTTGTAACGGCTAGCTAGAGGTGACACCTCTGGTTTCAAAAAGAAGTCAGATTGCACAGAAGTCCAAGGAACAGACCAGTTTGGTTCCCTTGATCTCAGTCGAAGCTTGATGGTCTCATTCACTAGTTCCAAGTCTCCTTAAATATAACGTTATGTTTGTTTTTTAAATTATGTCTAATTTTAAAATCAAATACACAATAAAGCATAGTATGATTTAAGGCATTTCTGCTTTGACTGACAGTTGGATTAACAAATATGCATTTAATGACATTTACAAATCAACAAATGCAGATGGCAATGACTTGTTGATGATTGTTATGATGGCCCATAATGGAAATAATTGACAATATGTGATTCTAAACAATATCTGAGAAACTCAATAGCTTTGTTTGTCCTAAACACTGTGCACAGATCCTCTCATAGACAGACACACGTGCCCAGACAGGCTTAGGGATTGTAATGCATTTCCTTGTTGTTTTCATCTGTCATTCCTACTTTGTTTTCACTAGCAAACTGTGACACTCATGCCTGTTAACAGCCCGCTAAAAATAACCACGATTGAGAAAAAAAACCTCCACATTTACATGAAATCTTAAAAGTTAAAATCGTTTTTTAACCTCTGATCATCCGTGGTTTGTTTATCCTTCGTTTCTTTAGCTGAATTTCCTAAATATTAGCACTTTAGCACCTGAGTGCTGCACAGCAAGCACTAGCGTTTCTCCTTGGTTGGTGGTGTGTGAACCCATAATTGATGAGCTTCCAGAATTGCGGATTGGACCTTTAAATGTCAGATAGTGAGAAAGGAGGATGAGCATCCCTGCGTTTATGCAAGGAGGCACTTGTGCTGCGTCCATGTCTCTGCTCTGCTGACAGCACTGGCCCCAGTCACACAGCATTAGACCGCATCGGCAGAGCCACGCTCACACTCACATGCACACACAAAAGCGCACACATCCAGGGCCTCGGGCAAGCTCGCGTACCATATTCATATTAGCTCATAAAACTGAACAACAGTCCAGTATTTCTCTTTGGTGCATGCTTGTGTGCTTTTACGTGTGTTTGTGTTTTAGCAATTGTTCCCGTGGTGCGTGGATGTGCTTTGATCACACTGTTTTGACAATTGGGAAAAGCCCATTAAGAAGACGGGAACATTATCAAACTGTTTACGTTAAAAAAAAGTAGCATTTGTGGTGCCTTTGTCAATCCCCCCCCCCCCTTAATTAAGGAAGAGTTAAAAGTACTGATGGTGAGGACGTATTGTGTACGGGTGTATGATCAATGGCTTTTTTTCTCTGCACATTCACATGGAGACCATGTGTCATCTGGTGCTTCATAGCAAGATTAAAGGATGACTGTATATTCAACCAGCTGAGCCCTAGCTCACTGCACTCTGTACACTATGCAACTTATACAGACTCCAGACTGACAGACTGCCAAAACACAGCAAGTTTGAACACTTCTGCAGCCACACAGGAGGCGGGAATAAATTAGGACATGTTTTTTTTTAAGTTTGCACTCAAATTCAGTGTGAAATTTGTGAGGTGGGGAAGAAAAAACCCATAAAATGTACAAAACATTATTATTAATAGTTTATCTTGATCTTGACTCAACTCCAGGCCTATTCTAAATGATTAAATGTCAGTTTTGTGGTGGGTGGGACTTTATCAGCAAATCAACCTAACCTGATGTCGCAGGAAGATTTCTAAATCTTCATTTGAAGCTAACAAAACCAAGATTTTCACTAACGGCCACGAATGCTAATGAATACATGATTGCACTAGTCATGTGATATCATCAGTTGATGACAGCTAATGCATTCACTTAGGCATAAATTTACAATTAATTAATGCTATAGTTAATTATAACGCAAGCCGTCTCAGTGGAAGGTGTTCCTTTAATAATCAGATGTCACAAAAATAAGTCTCTGGTCTGTCTGATTGCGGGTTTTTTTCTGTTCTTTTTTTTCTGAGAGGACCTTTCTGTTTTTAATCTTTTATAAATAGAAGCCTCAGTCCTTTAGACGTATTTATTTCCATCTTCAGCCTTAATGCTTGATGACATCAAGAAAGTATCAGAAACTGCAAATTAATAAATATGTATACTTTCATTATATACAAATAACTGTTTATTTTACTGTATTTTATCTTATCTGTATTATGAACCTTTGAATTTAAGAGCTGTTGGTGCAAGTGAACCTCTTACAGAGTTTATATAGCTGATATATGCTTTACTTAGGTAGGTAAACTCACTGAGACCTCATTTGCAAGAGAGACCTGACTCAGCACATGAAATGAGAAGAGGAAATGTAGCTGTAAGCAGTGATCAGAGGGCTGACTGCATACTCCCTATCATTTTCCATGTGGGAAAAATGATGAAAGTAAGAGGCATATTTTTTAAAAAAATGAGGATTACAATAATACTGGTCTGTGCGAATCCTGTTTGTTTCCTGAGCTTCTGGTGACTTGACTCATTTTCATTCTTGATTACATAGAGTTGTTAATGTAGAGTGCCACTGTTTCTATCTAGTTGTTGGTTGACTTTTGTCAGAGTCAAGAAAAACTTTTTTAGACACAAATAATCATGTTATCTTGTTAAATAGAGACTTTCTGTTAATATTGCAGTTGGGCTGAACTCCGTCTTTCGCTAGCATTAATGTTTTTGTTTAATTATTAGTCATTAGCCAGTATATAATATTGCTAATAGTTAAACCACTAACAGTAAAACGGGAGCTGTAGTGGCCCTCAACAAATTTCTTATAAAAACTGGGGCATCAGTTTTTAACATGCTTTGCCGAGTTTGTTGCGCTGCTGTTTATGTGTTCAGCTGCTAGTGAGGGGAGGGGCGTGTCCCCGCCGGTCTGCAGCAGTACTGTGTGGAGTTGTGTGTCAGCTGAAGGCATATCAAATCAAATAAAATAGATTAAATAAAATATTCTGTGTTGGTGTTGGTTTTGTGACATACCAATTGGAGACTTGTCAGGAGCTAGGCCTAGCTTAATGCATAAACTGTTTCGTTGTTCTCTTTTGAATCTAATGGAGAAAATACATTATATTTTCGAAGTGATGTTTTTAAGTAGCGATTGAGCTCACATCATTAGAAAAGCATTTACTGAGGTCAAAAAGCAACTGAGGGTGGTTCAACGACTTCTGTGCAACCAACCAAACAGAGAAGCTTCCCCCTGCTGGCCGTTAGCAGGAATGCCAGTTAACGGCACTTTCACATCGACTTCATTTTTCAGACCCGGACACAACATCCAACTTTTTATATACAGTCTGCATTTTTAAAATTCTGTAGTAATGCTCCTTTACTTGGTCAACCTCATCACCATGTCAGCACACAAAGCAGTTGCTGAGGTATGACCTCATTTTCTGTTTCATAGCTTTGCTGTTGGAATTGAAAATGTATCCATAACTTAAGTGCTTTGTCAGCATTACTTTTCCACCATTCAACTATTCACTCTTCAAACAAATTTACAGGTGTGTGAGCTCAGAGTTTTTATGCGCTGGTAGATGACAGGTGGGTGTAAGTACAGTATTGGCTGCTCGAATCCAAATGATATGTCATGTTATTGCTACCCGATTGCCTCGCTCTCTTCCCACAAGTGGTCACTCATCAAAACACACTCAAGTCTCCTTTGGATGAAGATCCTCAAATGTCAAAAGGAGGACTTTCCCGCATTCACACACTCACCACTCCCAGCACCATCATCCTCATCCTCCTCTTCCCTCCTTCCTCTTCTCCTCTCTGAAATATCACCATGCTACAAGGCAAAAGTTCGAGTGACATTTAATTAGGGAGTTTTCCTCTCATGCTGGGGTCCAGAGGGGCGGACTAGCTCTCAGCTGACATCTTAGCATTGTTTTGTTCACTGTTAAATACCCTTCAGTCAATCTGACTGTCTCTTGTCTCTTTTCCCTTCCCTGCTTCTAATTCAACAGTTTGTGTCCTGTACACTCAAGGAATAGCCAACAAGGAATGGAGAGAGGTGAGTACAGCTTTTCAGTGAGTCACGCTAAAGCCGTTTAAATCCTTTTTTTTCAAGTTTGCCTGTGGGCCATTTGTTGAATGATGAAACAATTGCTAGTAATGGTGTTTTTGGGACAGTTGTGTTATGTTTTGAATTGACCAAATTTAACCAAGCTCACTCTGTTCTTGTGCTTTCTTGTGTTAATGATAGAATCTTAACAGTTATGTGCAGACATTTCTTTTTGGAAAGCATGAAAGTGTTTAATTATGTTGCTGTCATTTGGTGTACATCCATATTTATCCATTTGTGTAATTAAACTAGCTTAGCGAGAGCTATGTGGGCTAGAGATCTTTACAGGCCCTCTGTCAAATAGCACACACAATATCTCATGTGACCAAGTTAGAGTTCCTGGTGAATAAATGACTGAACAAGAAAGCAGTTTTTAAAGGAGTGGCACATGTTGTGCATGTGCTGAAGGTGAAATGTAAATATTACTTTAATTAGCTTAGTTTCATGAAAAAGTGTCTGACATGAAGCTGGTGTGCTTATATGCTGTATGATTCAGATTGTCAGTTGTCAATGTCAGTGTGTCCCACCCCCTTATTGCTCCCAGTAATAAAATATCACCTCTGTCATTTCCCCTCTAGTTTGGTAGGACAGAAGTCATCGACAACACCCTCAACCCCGACTTTGTCCGCAAGTTCATCCTTGACTATTTCTTCGAGGAGAGACAGAATCTACGCTTTGACCTGTAAGTTAACAGCTGACTTATCCGTGCTAATGTGTGCGTGCGTGTGTTTGTTATTGTGTACTAGCGTGTGTTGCGCAGGCACGGGTGCTGCTCTGTGTGGGGCGAAGTTGAGTTAGGACTGAAATATTCATGGCTTGCGCTGAGGGAGATGTACGTCTTCTCTCTTCTAAATAAAAGACAAGTTTTCGTGCCACTTTTTCACCAGCGTTTTCATTTTGAACTCATCCCATTTGTTCGTTGCTTTGTGACAAAATAGGGCCAGATGGCCGCGGTGAATCACACATTTTTTTTTTATGTCTATGAATCGCTTGTTGTTGGTTATTTCATCTTGGGTTCTACTAAAAAGACAAGTTTGTCATAGAGATATTTTAAGAGCGTCAACATACCACATCTGCCTTCTTTTTTTTTTTTTACCCCCAGCCTTATTTTTCTAAATGTGAAGTGCTGTGTGGTGTGCATAAAAGCCCTTATGAGAGTAACAAATGACCTCCTTTTAACAGCAGATGCAGAAGATTGCTCGGTCTTAATCCTTTTAGACCTAAGTGCATCGTTTGACACAGTTGATCATACAATTTTAATTGACTGCCTTAAGCACTGGGCGGGTATCTCTGGGTCAGTGCAGAGTTTCTTGCCGCTCACATAGAAGTTGTTATGCTAAAGGAGCTGATTTTTTCATCTGCCACATCAGAAAACAACCGACACCTTCCCTCAAGACCCCCTCCTGTTCTTTCCCCCTCCCCACCTTTCCTGCATGTAATTTTGCACTCTTTGCAGACATAATTTGTACGCTCTTTAAAATTCAGAATATTTCCTGGTGTGTGAGTTTGTGTCACAACAGGCAACACACAAATTTGACGAATACATTAATATTTTTTTAATCCAGAGTTTTGATCTAAAAACATCGGCTCACTTTATGGCAACACTTTGAGGCCATGCTGTAGTTTCGACTCGCTGACTTTAGAGATCACACTAAACCTTCTATAAACCTTTTATAAATACATACAACAATATGTAATAATAAATTACCAGTGGGAAAAAGCTGACCTCAGAGGAGTGAGTTATGGTGGACTGATCTGCATTGGCACACTGCATTGGTGCGGGTGGACCACAATAAGCCATTTAAAGTTGAATACGTTTAATCCAAAGGCTGTGCTTGTGCGCATGTGACTGACTATGAGTAGGCATTGCTAGTCTGCTGGTAGAAAAGAAGCTGATGAATAACTGTGATTGCGATGCATGAATCACATGGCTAAAGCACATCATCTCTTTAAAGATTAAAAATTGTGAAACTAAATATAAAAAACCCCAAACATTTAAATCAACGTATTTATCCCTGCTGAGGCTGTGTGTTTTCACTGAGAGCCTTGTGTCAGGTTTGTTTCTTTGTCAACAGAACTTTTGTGAAAAAGTACCAGGCTGAGTTTCATCAAACTACTACGGCCAAAGAAAGAAGCCAATACGATGTGGCTGTGGATCATTTTTCTTTAACGTTGTGCTGGCTGGGTATTGGCTCTAGTGGAGATCTGCACTTTCAGAGTGCCCCTCTTTCATCTGACTTCCTGTCAGCAAGATTAGAGAAAACCACCAAGCTAAATTTAACAAAACGTGACGGAGAGGTCGAGTGTAGGCAGAGGACAAAGCCATTAAATCAGGGTGTCGAATCATTTCATTTTGTCAACCGCACACAGCTCGATTGGCTCTCTAGTGGGCTGACCAGTAAAACTGCTGCAGAATGACCGATTGAAAACACCTCTGAAATTTTGACTTTGTTTTAGTGCAAAGAATTACAAGTACATGTTGAAACATTTGCATTTAATGAAGTTTAAAAAAAAGTACCCAGATGAACAGCCTAAGATGTTTCTAGAAAAAAGAGAGCTCAGTCCTTTTTTTCTCAGTCAGTCTTTTCACTTCTCCATTTCTATTGCTGTAAGTCAAAAACAGACATTTACACATCTCGGCTTAGCCACTTTACTTTAATGCGGTTTTATCTTTGTCAGTACGAGGCTGTAAAACTGATGGTTCGGACTCAGACTACCACTCTCCGAATACGAGGAGGGCCAGATTTGATCTGGTTCTGGTCCCTTTTTCTTTCACTTAATTGTGCTCTCTTTATATTTATGCATTTTTAAATGCACATGGCTTTTTAAAAATGGTGTGGTACCACAGTATCTGGTAAAACATACACAAAACAACACAAGGAAAATATAAAATATAGCTAGTACATATGTCCCTCAAACAAATTTAATCAGTAGCTCAATGAACAAAAGAACAGTTTCCAAAATTTTCACAAGGCTGAGTTTTATTGAACACTTGTTTTACATAAAGTTATTTCAGCTTAGTAAAATAGCTGGTGGACAATTGGCAGTTAGGCTTATTTGCATTATTGGCTATGAAGCCTGTGCAACAGTGTGAAAGTTGTCCTAGTTGGTTCATGAGGCATATTGACACTGACAGATTTTCTTATGAATTAGGAGTCTGACAAAATCAAGCTGCTTATTATAGCTAATGGTATAATAACATGTACATGCTCTGTTATCCACATACATGCTGTATGCATCTCCAGTCGTGGTGTATGAAAATGAACAGAGAAATGGCATTAATAGACAAACTATCAAAGCAAGACTGCAGTGCATTTTTTTCCTATTGTGTTCAAGCCTCACACATTGTCATTGTGTTTTCCTGTGGTAGCTCATGAAATATGGAATGGCTCTTTTGTTTGTTCACTTGTTGGCCTGTCAGCATGGCCGCATGCTGCTCACAAGCTGTGGGAGGTTATAGTTAAGGTCAAGGAGGGATTCTGGGTGTGTGTTTGTGTGTAGATGCAAAGTGCTTGTGCAGGTGGTGTATTGTATCTTAAGTTGGTTAATGGCGTCAGACACTCTGGATTGTTTGAATACATTTAGTCATGTAGATATGCACTGTGTGTTCCACTTTGTTTGAGGTGTAAGTATTTATATGTGTGCATTAGTGTTTTTTTTTAAAGGGTACATGTTAAGAATATATGATGGAGCTGGGAGATGTATAGCTCTTTTATTCTTGTTAAAAATATTTACTGCTAAACAAAATTAAAGTAACACTTTGTAAAAACATCAGATCACAAAGGAAACAAATATCATGCTGGATATCTATACTGACATGGAGTGGGTAATGGTTTGGTAGAAATGAAAATGATCAGCCTACGGGCGGCTGAATTCAAAAACACCCAAAAATAAAAATGAAAAATGGACTAAAGCATAACGTCTCAGATATGTTCTATTGGATTTAAGTCAGGCAAGTGTGGGGGACAGTCAATGGTATCAGTTTCTTCATCCTCCAGGAACTGCCTGCATAGACACATGAGGCCAGGTCTTGTTGTGCACCAGGAGGAACCCAGGACCCACTGTACTAGTGTAGGATTTCATCCAGATACCTCATGGCAGGCAGTCAGGGTGCCGCTGCCTTGCCTGTAGAGGTCTGTGCATCCCTCCGGAGATATGCCTCCCCCGACCATCACTGAACCACCACCAAACCAATCATGCTGAACGATGTTACAGGCAGTATAAAGCTCTCCGTGGCTTCTCCAGACTCTTTCACGGCTGTCACATGTGTTCAGGGTAAACCTGCT